CCTTGCTTTGTGTAGGCGACACAGGAGAAATCTTTTGATACAATGTATCATTATATAAACGATCATTATTGTTTCCGTTTATAAATGTATCATTCTTCTCTTCCTCCTTGTATACCATCTGAAAACATTGATAAGATTGTTAGTAACGACGCAGTCTGACGAATTACTGCACAAAGAATGAATACAATACGACAGAGGACGCGCAAATTCTAAGACATCTTATTGCTCATGTAAATTTACCAGCAGCCTATGAAGCTTCCTTCCTATTTTGTCCATGTTCAACGTTATTTTCGTCTCGTCAGGATGCAATCCAGCTTCCAATAGGCCACGGAGAATCGATGGGACATTCTGTAAGTTTATAATAACATCTCGTTTTCGTATCATGTGCTGCCGTTCTACATTTTGTTGACCGTATCCGCTCCACGGTACACTTCCTGTGGAATGTTAAATAATAATCGTTATTTTGTTATGCAATAAATGCAATTTCAATCTTTTACTATAAAAATGTTACAATTGCTTTTCAGTTAAAGGGCAGCAAAATTATATTAATATACTCGCCTGTGCACATTTCCCAAAGTAATAGCATTAAGCCGTAAACGTCGACTTTTTTATTGGGATGCCCGTAACACAACGCCGGTGCTTGCCATTTGAAATTTTCTAAGCGCAGATATTTTTCGAAATCGCGTTCCACGTAAACCTAAAAATGAAAAGAGTAATTTAAATATTACATTATACGAGAAAACAATGTTAGAAACATTGTATATATAAAACGTTCTACTTGTAAAAATTTATATAAATTTTATGTTCGCAAATTAATTGGATCACTTACAAAAAGATACCTTTACTTCGAAACAATTGACACTTGAAAAATGTTACATTTACACGTGGTATATGTTAAGGTAAAACTGCATCGCAGCATTTTAGAGAATACGCCCCGCTGTATTCTCTAAAATGCTGCGATGCAGTTTTACCTTAACATATACCACGTGTAAATATAACATTTTTCAAGTGTCAATTGTTTCGAAGTAAAGGTATCTTTTTGTAAGTGATCCAATTAATTTGCGAACATAAAATTTATATAAATTTTTAGAAGTAGAACGTTTTTTTATATATATTTCTACATAATTTAAATCATTTGCCACAAGTGACTTTATTATTATTTTACGTATTGCTCTTTGGTGATGAAATAGATGTGCGTAATTTTTGTTCACGTTTGTTAGCCGAGTGCACTTTTACGAATTTAAGGTCGTTCGTTAGCAGATGTAAAAAGTTCACAGGCAGAATAGAGAAAATGTAAATTCCACGTACTTTGTCAAGTTCTCTGGCCAGCTCCCATCCGCCAAGTTTGACAGGCCCATCGGATGTAAAGTAAACGCAGTGCGAGCTAACCGCTGTGTGAATGTATCCACGCGTGTGACAGTATTGCAATACGTCCGCCAATTTCATGCCGATCTGCATGACTCCTTGCACGCTTATTCGCTCGTTTTGCTCGTGCATGTAATTGTACAACGAGCAGTCGATTGGCTCGAAGATGGAGACGAGGCCGTACTCGTGCGTATACGTCGTGGCCATCAGCAGCAGTACGTTGGGATGCCGAATTTTACTGAAATTGCCAAGATTGCAATCATGTTATATAAAGCAGACAGGATACTTTGATTATACCATTTTCCAAAATTACAACTAATATTCATTTTAATATAATGACCATTGAAAAACGAATTTTGACTCTTAGCCCAGTGACTCCTTCGTACATTTTTATTTTATTATCTTAAGAACGTGTTTTCTTTCTTTACGTCACTTATGACCGTTTCTACCAATGTGGATTAACTTGAATCTCGCTTCAACCCACTTTTCATCCTTTTCTAGTTCTAAGAATTAGAAAAAAGAAGATAGATAAAAATTAGATGAAAAGTAAGTCGAGTAGAGATTAAAGTTAATCTGCATTGGTGGAAACGGGCGGAGACAGAGCGGCTCCTACCGAAGGATCTCCACGTCCGCCCGTATCGCGTCGCGACACGTTGGTAAGATGTGTCGCTTCAGCGTCACCCTCGTGTTGTTCCATTTCGCGGAAACCAGCTCGAGACACTTGGTCTCCGTGCCCGCGACACACCCGATCTCGAATATCTCGGAGGCCTGTATATGCGGCACGCCTAGTATAAACAGCGCGGGTCTCCGCGGCCTTCGATTGTCCTTCTGCGAGGACTGCTCGGCGTTCTGCTCCTTGGGCAGGTAGTCAACCCATTCCGGATCGGTGATGTCCCCGTTAGGCGTCTGACAGTGGCTCGCGAACTGTTGCAAGTTCCGGTAATACTCGCTGCAAAGAAAAAACTTTGGATCAGCCCAATCTCATCAGATACAAGTAGATTTCAGCTGGAAGGTGTAGTGTCGGGCAACAAGATGTTATTCGTTTGAAATCATTTCATTTCCCACCCTGCAACATTTAAAACCCTCAATGATTCATTTCATTCTACAAGTCTCAAAATATTCAACGATTCGCTTAATAAATTATTTTGAATATATATATAATAAATATATATATAAAACTATGACGGAAATGAAGCGAAATTTCTTGAAATGTTGATCGTTTTTCGCAACAGGAGTTAATCATGCTTTGCTTTCCTCTGACTTTATAAAACGACATGCAAATCAATGGTCTTCTTGAACTTACAAATTGTTGCTACCTCATGTTGCGACCACTTTCACTTTAACAACACATAAATAGTGCAAAAGAGAAAATCATTACATGAAAGAAAATAATGACGGTTATATCAGCTTCAACTATCACATACAATATCAAAATTATCAAGCATCCTCACAATTATTATACCGTACTGAATCTAATATCAAGATTTCTAATATTTATAAGTTATTTGCTAAAGCGTTCATTACTTCTACGCAGTAAACAACTTTTAAACAATAAAAATCTTTCCCGACACTAGACTCGGTGTAGCCTAATGATTGTAACAGTGCCTAATGATTTTTGTCCAAGGCTGTAGATTACGTATTATTATTTATAGAATGACGTCCATGTATCGTCGCCTTAGGCTTCATTCGCTCGCGGAGGGAACTGTCTCGTGATTTACCGAGTTATACTGAAGACATTGCTCATAATCACTTTTCACGGGCTACTTTTCCGTGGGTAACGCGACAAAAGCGAGGCGGTGTCTCGTCGGAGAGAATGGCAGAGCCAAACGCGCAGCACCAGACACGATTGTTCGCACGACTGATGAGACGAGGTGCCCGTATAGCAACGATCATAGTACAAGCGCCGGTATCGTGTCACTGACGATTAGATGAAAAAAAAACCCGTGCAAACGTGCGCGCAACCGATTTTACAATCTTCAGATACGGTGCATTAATTCAGTTCGGATCGTATCATCAAAAAGCATCTATGATTAAATAATCAAGTAATTTTTTGCCCGTCCCTAATTATTATTCAAACCGAATTAATGCACCGTACACCGAACGTTACGCTGCGAGTGTCGGCCGCTACGCAAGTATCTGTCGGCTTGTGCGTTCGCAAAAATAATTCTCGAGTCTTTCAAATGTAGAACCAACAGAATACAAGGCGGTAAACCTCTATGGCGCAGAATATAAAATAGATATAAAGCAAGCTATAAAGAGGAACACGTTTTACATGTTTTATATTAAGCGATTATAATATTTTTATAACGAAATATTGTATTTATGGCGTAACAAAGTAATTAATTTGTTAAAATTTCGAACTCTGCACCGGTTTCTACAGCCAGGATTGATACAAAAAGTGTATCGAATGAGATGAGCATTCTCTAAAGCCTTGTGTCCACGATCCAAGAATTTGGTTCAAGTTCTAGTTTCGAGAAATGTGTAGCCAATCAACCTGCAGCTATTCCATAAAAGCTGCAAGGTGATTGGCTACGCATTTCTCGGAACTAGAACTTGGACACAGTTCTTGGATCGTGGACACAAGGCTTAACGAGAGTCTGATCGCAGGGTGAATTCTATGAGCTGATAATTTAGATAGGAAGAGTTTGTGAAGTAGAAAATTTAACGCTCGTTTACACCAGTGTCGTTTAACTTTGATCTTTGTTCAGTTCATCCTTCGTCTCTTTCTAATTGTCCTCTAGAAAGAAACAAGAGTCGATGACGTAAACTAATTGTAAGATCAAGTTAAACGGCGTCGGTGAAAATCAAAATAATCGCGACTGCGCACTCGAGAGTCCAGTGAATAATTAACAACGATCAAGATTAACTAGGGTCCGGTTTCACCAACATTGTTCAACTTTAAGCTTAGTTTAATTCGTTCTTTGTCTCTTTCCAACTGTTAATTTAGAAAGAGACAAACGTGAATTAAACTAAGATTAAAGTTGAGCGACGTTTGATGAAATCGGGTCTAAATCCGAGCCGCTTAAGGTCTGGTTTCACCAACGTCGCTTAGCTTAGCTTAATTCATTCTCTCTCTTCCTAGCTGCCCAGGGAGAAACGACTCGTCAAGCATCAACTTGACGGTGTCGATGTCGATTCGACATTGTTTCGACAAGGCATTTCTCGCTGGGTGTTGCCTCAGAAAGGGACAAGCGTGAATTAGTCTGAGATTAAAGTTAAGTGACGTTTGTTGAAACCAGGACTTAGACCTGGTTTCAACAAACGTCACTTAACTTTAATCTTAATCGTGGTCCCGGTTTCACCAACGTTGTTTAACCTTAAGTTTAGCTTCATTCATTCTTTGTCTCTTTCCAACTGTTAATTTAGAAGGAGACGAACGTGAATTAAACTAAGATTAAAGTTGTAACTTACTTGCGCCCGTCTTGCGGCATCGGCGACGTGGACTGCTCGTCCGACTGCTCCCTGTCCGACCGCGTGGCTGTTCTGCAAAAGAAAGCGACCGATTTGATATTCGTTCCGAATATTAATATCTAACGTACCGAGATCGGTATTCATTCTCGAGGAACAATATTGTAA